CTCTGCTGTGCTGGTGTTGCTCTGGATCCGAGAAAATACCTTGAACGCGATTATGCAACCCCCAGTTTACGTTTCGTTGGGATAGTCGGAGGATATATCAGACTCAAGGTCTGGTATTTCTATTTATATCCCATTTAACCGGCAGAGGAGAAACGGATTTGAAATTGGGGAGCGTTCGGTTCAGTCTTCACCAAACATCAACCCAACTCCCATTTATACCACATTTCACTGTGCGAGTCGGGTACACCAGGCCAACGACATGGTTGGATACTCCCTGGCCTTTTATGGCCGCCCTCCTCTCTGTCGCTTCCGTCGATGCGGCCGACCTGGAACATCTAGTGCCTGTAGCAACGCCTGCTGGCCTCGTCGCGCTCAACGGGATGTCTCCGATACCTACACCTCCTCCCGGCCTGCCTGCTGGAATACCACCAGAATTAATGAAGCGGCAGAGTGGCAACTCGACCAGCTTGTTGATCCCTTTCCCTCCTCCAGCTTATTACTGCGGCTTGGTTGATGGAGACCCAGGTTTGTCTAGATGAGCCCTATATTAATTTGAAAACAGAAAAACTAATGTGATGTACAGAGAATCCACTGACTTGCGTCAATGCTCGCGCAACCTGTATCTACACCGGAAACGCTGCCGGCTGTTGTCTAAGCAAAAATATCAATGATTGCACTACCATTCCAACTACCTGCTACCCATCAAGCGTTAGCTGTGACTCGGCTTGCTCCAGGGATTCACTGGCCCTCAAGTGTAGCATCTCAACTCTCCCTTACTGCGGAACCTATGTCTTCAACCAGAACACCAAGTTGTACGGCTGCTACTCGTACGCTTCGGTTTCCGACAACATTTCGCCGCTGTCACAATATTTCTCTTCTGTCCTAGGACCCGACTATGCTTCCAAATACTCTGCCACTCACATCCCATCCACCACCACTGACACTTCTGACCAACCCAGTGGCACCACATCAGGCGACTTCCCGGACACCACTACCTCAGGCCACACAACCCCTTATCCCCCTCCACCTCCACCTCCACAACCCAAGGGCCTAGGAGGCGGCGCTATTGCCGGTATTGTTGTCGGTTGCGTCGCTGGTGTTTCTGCCATCCTCATTGCAATTTGGTGGTTCATCCTGCGCAAGAAGCCCGATAACACCCCTGCCCCTGCCCCTGCGACTGCCTACACTCAAAATAACAACATGCCGCCAACCGGCATGAACCCACAGGGTTATAACCAGAACCCCGCTGTCGGAGGAGGATACTATGCTCCCGTTGAGCAGAAGCCGCCGGTTGAGGAACAGCCACCAACATATCCGAATGAACAGAAGATTTCTCCATTCAACCAGCCACCACAACAACCTCCTCAGCACGCTGAAATGCCCGGGTCAACCGTCAGCTCTCCACAACAGATGTCCCCTATCCCATCCGAGTTGGCTTCCACGCCTATGACTGCTACACATAACGGACCTGTTCCCGAGCAGATCTACGAGATGGGACCTGGCCGGTAGCCGTTGCCCGTCAAATAACATAAATACGTATATTGGAAAGTTTTCAGGAAAAAAAGAATCAACATGACCGACCTCGAA